CTAGAACACAAAGCAAACTAAAGAGCTGCAACACCATGGAGCTCATAGAAATGATCTAACTCGAAAAGGCAACTACCTGGCAATACACTGCCACACCCCCTTCCTGTATCCAAGACAGACATTATCAATCAATCACACACTCTTTCCACTGAGCCCAGAAGCAGCCTTAAGGAAAATCATACCTACAATAAATCTCTCTCGTATTCACTTGCATTTCCTTCTTGAAAGGGACAGAAAGGAGTGGAATTATAGCTACCAAGCTGGGAACACTCATTGGGTTATGCATGCAAACACAAACATTAAACTGTCACATGTTACAGCGGTAGAGAAGACTGAGTTTTTTTTTGGGGGGGGGTTGCTGTTTTTAAGTATCCAAGTTTTTATTATATTCACTTTAAACATTTTGGTGGCTTCATTTGCCCACTTTTGGTAATTTTAGTAAGAAATTATAGCGCCCCTCCAAACTCATTCCAGTTTATTGGGGACACCTCTGTTGAGAACAGCTGCTCTGAAGGATTAAGCTCCCAAGACTGTTCCAGACCAAGGTGAAAGAACAAGCTAATTAGGTCAAGTCACCTTAACACGTTGAGAAGTCGCTAACCCCGTCCAAAGCAAACTTTCCCTTCCCTCCACATTCCTGACAGATGTGCATGGTCTTCCTACACTTCCATGCTTTCAACTCTTGGTCGTCAAGTCAATTACAAGTCAGAGCCAGCACGTTGCGTTTATCCTTTGCAGACACCCCTCTGAAACGTGAGGGGGGCAGGCATGGCCGTGCTCCCTGGCACCTCTGTGCCTCGACCCCGTGCCAGCCTGGACAACATCTCAGAATCCTTCCCTACCCTCTTCAGGAGAAAATGCCCTCCACAAGGCAATGAGCCCCTTCACGGAGGGTTCTTGAGGGCCGGTGTCTGCCTTGTCTCCAGCATCTAACAGAGCCTGGTGCACAGCAGTGCTTAGGAAAGACGTTTGAATGAATGAATGAATGAATGAAGAATCAGTAACACTTGCCTTATATTGAGGTGCTCCTATGCTGGGTGCATATACATTTACAATTGTTACATCTTCTTCTTGGATTGGTCCCCTGATCGTTATGTAGTGTCCTTCTTTGTCTCTTGTAACAGTCTTTATTTTAAAGTCTATTTTGTCTGATATGAGTATTGCTACTCCAGCTTTCTTTTGATTTCCATTTGCATGGAATAACTTTTTCCATCCCCTCACTTTCAGTCTGTGTGTGTCTCAGCCATAAAGAAGAATGATATAATGCAACATGGATGGACCTAGAGATAATCATACTGAGTGAAGTAAGTCAGACAAAGACAGATATCATATAATATCGCTTATATGTGGAATCTTTAAAAAGATGATACAAATAAACTATACTTCAATTTAAAAAAAAAAAATCAAGAAAAGTCCCCATCGTACATCTCTGGTCCCCTTCCAGAGCTTCTCTTCAGCCACAGGCGGCCTCACCTTGCTCTCCTTACTTGCCCTTCATAGCTCTGGGCCAGCATCTCCTGCTTCCGGGATCTCCCCGCACCCTCCCCCCCCTCCAATATGTCCCCTTCCCAGGCAGAGCTACCACTCTTTCCCCAGCCCAGCATCTTCACACCCATCACCTCCCCCTAAACGGTCCCTTCGGGATCCCCCCTTCCTTCAAAAACAGCCAGAAAATTGTGAATAACAAGGAACGTTTCCCTCTCACAAAAACACTGTTCCCATCACGCACATATCTGTCACATTCCTGCTCCCCAAAAGGAGTAAGCTCTTTAAAGGCAGGGACCTTGCCTTTCACCTATAGTTCTATGTGCTCCGCGTGAGTGTGTGTGCGTGCGGAAGGGGCACTATTAATGCCAAACTCTTCGGATGTTCTTTGATTCTCAGAACAAACCTTAGTCATGTTAATACTGTGTTTGAAAATGAACGTGTTGGCAGTTAGGGGAATTAAGTTCTTACCTTGTTTCCCAACAGAGAGAAGGCCTCTTAAGACAAGTGGGATTTCATGGACTTTGAGTAAGGAAACGTAAGTTTTCTTTTCTTAAGACCATAATCTAATGAGTATAAACACATTCATTTAGGCAGACTTTGTGACAGCTCTGTAATTCTTTCCAGTAACATTCAAAAAGAAAAAAGAAATTCCTATTTCACTAGCTCTTTTCTCTTACCTCTTTCTTTCTTTTTCTTTAATTTCTTTATTTCTTTCTTTATTTTTGGCTGCGTTGGGTCTTCGTTGCTACACGCGGGCTTCCTCTAGTTGTGACAAGCGGGGGCTACTCTTCGTTGCAGTGCGTGGGCTTCTCATTGCGGTGGCTTCTCTTGTGGAGCACGGGCTCTAGGCGCACGGGCATCAGTAGTTGTGGCCCACTCAGTAGTTGTGGCACGCCGGCTCAGTAGTTGTGGCTCGCGGGCTCAGTAGTTGTGACATACGGGCATGTGGGATCTTCCCAGACCAGGGCTCGAACCCGTGTCCCGTGCATTGGCAGGCGGATTCTTAACCCCTGCGCCACCAGGGAAATCCCTCTTCTACCTCTTTCAAATGTTCTCCGTCCCTGTTCCCTTCTCTTCCCTTCCCTCACCACCCCCGCCCACACACACACACACACACACACACACACACACAGAGGGAGAAACAGAAGGAAGACGTGTTAGAATTGCAGAAAGAGAATTCCACCAAGTCAAAACTATATGATTTACAGTTGAAAAATCTATTTTTCTGTAACCATTTTCTGCTTAGAAAACCAGTTCCAATAATTCAGCTCCTTTTCAAATGGACTTTATGTTGTTTAGCTCCATTCCGTCCCCTGGAACTTAATTTTTATTTGATTTTATTGACGCTGCTCGATTGGAATGTGTATTGCTTGAGCCCCCATGGAGAGCCGAGCAGGTGTGAGTAAAGAAAAACATCTTTTGTTAATAGAAGTACACCCTGGGAGTTCATGGAGACACTAACTTCAATTGCTTTTATGAAAATTCTGTAAATCCCCATGTTGTGAATTTCAAACAGAGCTTGGGAGACCAACAGCCTTTAATACAAGCCAAAGATACGGTTATTTCTGTGACTGAAATGAAGGTTCTGCTTTCTTTCTTCCAAAAAATTAAAGCCAGGTATTTAATTAGTATGTTGAAACTGGTAGAAAAATCATATTAACTTTGAGTTTGGCTCTCGTGGAGAAAATGGAGCTCTTACTGTGATCAGCCTACAGAAGGATGACTTGGAGTTTCCCAGGTAACTTCTCCAGATGAAGGAGAGCTCATCCCACCTTCCTCGGGCGTCCAGAATGACTTAAGAGGATTGCCCATTCCCAGCCCAAATCTTCACACATATTTATGTTTAGAAACCAAGGGAACAGGAACAGATTCCCCAAAACTCTCGGCTTAAGGGGGTGGTGTATGGTTTCTCCGTCTGCCTCTTGGACCAGCTGCCACAGAGGACCAGGGGTGAAGCCAAGCCCAGCTTTCTTCCTGATTTGGGGCCAGACTCAGACGATGTTGCCTTCTCCCGAGCTGGAAGGAAAGACGTAAGCTCGGTCTATTACAAAATTGCATGTGTCATTAGAAAAAGATGTCAGAGTGCTTTATTTAAAACTTTGTTTTCTCAGGTTGTGTTGCCCAAGTGTATCTTGGCACAGACGATCTCAGCTTCAAAAATTCCAAGATATATAAAGAGGTTCACATAGCTGAAGCTATTATAGTTGGTTATATGCCACTGACACCTTTCCCCCCTTCGTTCTTGCAGAGAAGTGAAGTGATGACTGAATTTCTACTAAAAAATTTGTTCTCTCCTCCGTGCAACCATAGGATCTATTCTTGACAGAATCATTTACTTGTTCCAAAAAGAAAAATGGAGAGTTCATAGTGATGTGGGGCCCTTGGGGATTTCTTGGACAAGACCTGCAGAGTCAAAGATTTCCACCATTCTTTTAGAAGAATGATCTAGCAGCCTGTCCTGGTGAGCTTGCCAAATTGCTCATCCTTGGCTAAAAACCACAGGCCCTTGAAAGGATTTTTTCCCCGTAAAACAATAGAGCATCACTTGACGGAAGGTAAGCACACTTGTGTGATGTCTCTGGGCGCTTTTATGGGCTGAGGATAAACTCTTGTAAAGGACCTGTATCACCTGCCAGGTTGACACATTCACATCCACTTAGGCTGAAAAGAAGATCACTTGTGAAGAAGAACAGACGTGCCTTTTTAAAACACAAGCCTTGCTTGGTTTTCAATGCTATTTGGTAAGTAGGTGGAGAAATAAGAAGGGCTTTGATTATTTTTTCCCCAAACTTTAGAGTGTTATGGGGCATGGCTATTCTTAAGTGGAAAGTTCTGATAGACTTGAGGACGCTTCTGTGCAACACATAAACTTCTCTGGGAACAGTCCTTCTGGGCAGGGACTTTGTCTGTCTCTTAGGAAGTCCCCAGCCCTGTTGATGACCTCAGCACAGAGAAATGTAACCAGGCTGAGTGTAGCCACGTCTGTCCCCAGGACCTCACTGTATTTCCAAGCTGCATGGCCTCAGCTTCTCACAGTTACCACAAGTAATGTTGGAATCTATTTTTGGTCCCCTTGGCCGCACTAAGAACATTTGCTAGAAAATAACAAATAGGGGTCCAAAAAATGATGTTCAATAATCTGTCAGCGGAAAGTAAGAGATCTGCCATGTTGCTTCCCCCAGGGCTTAAGATCCTGCCACCAATGCCGATTCTGAGTTGTGATTTTAATATGCCAATAAAATGGAGTGATGCCTAAGAGAAGCCATCTGGCGATGTGCGGAAGAGCAGGAAGCTATTCCCGGGCCCAGCTGTGCCTGGTATACAATTCTTGTGAGTCAGATGCTCGCTTTCTGCCCAGCTGGAGCCAAACAGCTCAGGGATAGATGGAAAAGAAGGGGAACTGCGTTAGGAGTTAGGACCCGAAGTCAAGGTGCAGAGCTGCCCTGAGTGAGTCCTGTGCCCTCAGGTGAGCCACGTTAATCCTCAGAGGCGCCGCTCTCTCCAGCAAGAGAAGAGGCTCTTCTGTCCTGCGATGCGAATCTTCCGCATCTTCCTTCGGGCTGTACCGCTCAAGGTGGCTGACCCGACTCTCCTTCCCAGCCCAGGGAGCCCAGGGAAGAGGCTAGCGGGCCCAGTGGTCAGTGTGCTGGGCTCCTGAGAAGGGCCAGGGAGCTAGGGCTTCAGAGAACACCCACACGGCACGGGAAGCCGAGACTGGGGCCTGGCTCCGCCTTCCATGCAGGAAAGGAAGCGATGACCTCTCCTATCGTGGGCGTCCCAGCTGCAGGAACGGCACACCCAACCCGGATCCTATGCTGGTAAGAGTTGATATTCTCCTTACAGCACCCTCCAGCTCCCGCCTCTCTCCCCTGCTGCTGGCAGAAATGCTGGCTTGAAATGTTTGAAAACCACATGAATCGCAGTCATTTGGGGAAACATTCACAATGACGCCTAATTACCAAGTAGCACAATAGCGATTGTGTGCGTTAGGGACGTTATAAGGGGAATGAGATCTATTCAGTTATAACCCTATGCACGGCCTGTGCGTGGATGTTCAGTCTTCAGAGTTCTGGGAAATAACTGGACAGTTGTTCCCATTTCTCAGCCAGGCACCCAGATTTCTAGAGAACAAAACCTAAGCCAGGGGTTCTCCGGTATTAACATGCAGAAGAATGGGAAAGTTTTGGAGTGGCTGTTACTATGCTGATTCCAGGGCCTCGCCACCAGGGGTGCTGGCTTAGTAGGTCTGGGGGAGAGGCTGGGGGTCTGCCTTGTCAACCAGTACACCAGGTGAGCTCAGTGCTCGTGGTCGGAGGAGATTCACCTGGGGAGATACCGACCCGAAGCCCACCCCTCTGCCGGCTGCCGTTACCTGAATGCCCGTCTCCCGTTCTAGAGCTTGCCTGGTTCTTCCTTCCTCCAGGCTCCAAGCGTAGTGAACGCCAGCTTCCTGAGCACCAGCGTGGCCGCAGAGCCAGACATCATGCCTGGTGGCTCAGGAATCCCCTCCGATAAGCGAGAGCTCCAGTCTTTCCCGTCACATCCTTAAACTTTCCCTTCGGCCTCATCACTTCCTGTATTGAGCTAAAAGTGGTACCCAGCATGTTTCTACTGTTACATTATTTGTGCTTATACACCCTGAAATTTCCTTTGGGAGAACGCCTGCCGGTTCTAACGTGGGATTCCAGAGTCTCTTTTCCCAGAGCAAAGACCCCCTCAGTCGCCCCACACATCCTGGACAATGGAAACAGGGTCCCCTCACTCCCAGGACGCAGTGAGCGGTTCCGAGGGAAGGGGCTGCCCCTGGAGGGGGGTGGCGTCTCTGTAGGCGCTCAGCCTCCAGACGGCAGTCCCCTGGGCTGCTTCTTTGCCTGAGGTCAACTAATTCTTTTTTTCCCAAGAATTCTTGGGTTTGTCCCATGGCTTTGATTTCCACCGCACCCACCTGTTTCTTGGGGTCAAGGTTTTCATCCTTCTCTTGCTTCTAAGCCTTGGGATCAGCCATAAAGACCCTCCTGCTTTCCAACTCCTGAAGTCAACCACAATCCGTTCATCCTTTTGAAGTTGGAAACAGCTGGAAACAGACGGAGGGTAAAAAGAGCTGACGGAGACCCACAGATGTTAAGAGCAAAGGCTCCCAAGCAACTCTGTCCCTCAGCCTCCTCGGCTTGTAACTGGAGCCGAGGCCGGGATCGTGGTCTGGACGCTCTCGGCTCTTCAGAGGCGCCTCCCTTGATGTTCAGATGGGTGGGGCTGGTCGTCCCTGTCCCTCTCTTCAACAGCCCTTCCTATCTCAATTTGTTATTTACTCATTTCGTGCTCCGCCCCCCCCCAGTCCCAACCTCCCCAGGAGAGAAGGAAATGGGAAAATGCTAAAGATGGATTTTAGGACTCCCAAAGATCCCCTCGAACAGTCATCCCTCATCACCCCTGGGGGATTGGTTTCACGAGCCCCGCCAGTACCCAGATCCACGGATGCTCGAGTCCCTTATATAGAATGAGGTAGTATTTGCCTAGAACCTACGCACATGCTCCTGTATGTTTTAAATCACCACGTAGGTGCTCTGTCAATAGTTACTGACACAGCAGATTCCAGGTTTGCTTTTTGGAACCTTCTGGCATTTCTTTTTCTGAATATTTTTGATCTGTGGTTGGTTGATTCTGTGTATGGGGAACCCACAGATACTGAGGGCTGACAGGATTAGACATCGTCTAAGCATTAAGCCTTATTATGATGGTTTGGCCTTCATCTACCTCACTCACCGTGCTCATGTCTCAGTTTCCCTCCAGGATCCCCAGCACTTTCATTCAAACTGTAGCTCTCTTTCCCACAGCCAGAAGCAACCTGTTTCTTAGCAAGTTGCTTTGTAATTTTTCTAAAAACGTATCCGATTTAATACCATCTTGATCACATTAGATGACCCACAGTGCAAGTTAACTCCCATGCAATTGATCACTAGGAAAGGAGGTTAGCAGGACCTGGAAACATGGGTTCACGATCTCTTCCTGGGCAAGGGGCACTGTTACCACAGCAATAGAATGATAACCTGTAGCAGAGAAGGAAAAATTAAACAGCCTGATTACCACCCTAGCACTAGGAACCTATAACCTGTACCTTTAAGGAAATAGATATCGTGGGCCTCTGGGAGACCCTCCCCTAGAAGCGAGGCACAGCCTCTGTGGCCCTCGCCTTGGGGCAGTAGCAGGTCCTGGGTCGCCCACCTTCACAGCAGCCCACAGCCTCCCCGATCTGTGCTGCCGCGGCCCTGCCAGCTCTGTTCTGATGTAAACGTCACCCGGGATGCCACTCACTCGTTTGCTGTGGCATTTTCTAGACTCCCCGAGAGCTGCCTAACTGGGCTCTGGAGATTATTACTCCGGGAACCAATTTTTGTTTTGATACTGCTCTGGTTACAAGGTTGCATAGTTTAGAATGGCCTGCTGTAATCTCATGTCTTCATAAACTCAGTTCCTTCAGTAAATCATTTTGCAGGGCACAAAGCTTTGTAAGGAAACACATCACCTTAGAGCCGAAACACCTGTCTTATCTTTACCTGGAAGACACATGTCAACACTTAATTTCGATGTGTCTCTATGATCTCTGTAAACGGATTGCAAGTCGTTATTTTAAGTCTTGAAGTTACCAAAAAGGTAACGTAGAGGTTCATTTCCTGGAAATGAGATGCTGTTCTAATGCCCTTTCATCCAAGGTAGCCTGGATTCAGTGTTGACTAGTTTCTAAGGTCAGGTGTAGACACCACGTAGCCTTCAGTTTCTAAGTTGCATGTTGATATCTTTATGAAACCATTTTATTTTTGTGTCCTATTCATTCACTCTCATAGTCTCTCTCCCTCTCTGTCTCTGACTTTCTCTTTCTCTCTCTCGGTCTCTCCCTCTCCCTCTTTCCTTCCTTCCTTCCTTGTCACTCTGGGAGAGGAGGGCTAATTTTATTCAAGGCTGTTTCTTAGTGACTGGTTCGGTTTTGTCAGTATGATCCATCATGCTAAGATAAGGGATATTTTATACTCTTGGAAAAAGAAATGAAGAAAGAAGATACACCATATTAATAATGAACTTAGACAGATCTGTCAATATTTCGCACAGAAGGCCTCAGTTACCTTGTCATGCGACGTGTGAGTTATTTGTCCTTAGTGATGGTGACGTCAAATCAGAAACATTTAGTTGGTGTTCATATATGATATACCACTTGCTATGAAATACATACAGATCAAATCGTTGTTTTAACATTTATTGACCACTTATCATTTTCTTTGTATACATTAGTTAATTTAAAAATCATGATAATATCTAACACATTGCAACCAATGTTGTTTTTTAAATTTATCTTATCGGAGTCTAGTTGATTTACAATGTTGCATTAATTGCTGCTGTACAGCAAGGTGATTCAGTTATACATATACATGTATATACGTATACATTCTCTTTCGCATTCTTTTCCATTATGGTTTATCACAGGATACTGAAGCAGCCAATGTTGTTTTAAGGCTTGTTACATGCCAAGTATTCTTCTAAGCATTTCAGTGGTTTTAACTCATTTAATTCTCCAATCATCCCCTAGAAGATAAGTACTCTCATTATACTCATTTTTTCAGGAAAGGAGACTGAAATGGTTATTGAGTCTAAGGTCAAACAGCTGGGACGTGGCGAAGCCAAAACTGAAAGCCAGGCATTCTGACTCCAGAGCCTGCAGGGCAGATATCCCCCCAGCCATCACCATGCTGGCCCAGAGAGGAAGGAAACGTCATTCCCATTACACAGCTGAAGAAACTGAGGCTTGGGAAGATAACCTTGTCCAAAGTGGCAGATGTTCAGGAGTAGGACAGGGATTTGAACTAAAAACCTAAGCCCTTGACCACTTCAGTTCTTCCTGAATTGTTCTGCTTCTCTGTAATCTTTGTCTCCTATTCCGCCATTAGATCCCCTTGTCTTTTGACTATTTTTAAGACTTCATGTGGAAAAGCCTCAGTGCTTTTCATTTATTCCTTTTGAATTTGCATATTTATCATTTATTTCTCAAGTGTATGTAGAAATAAGACTATCTGGTTTAAACAGGAAGTCTTTAGCAAAAAAGACATCACTTCGAAGGCATTCTCAGAAAAGTTCTCAAATGTGCAAACACTTTTTCTTTTCCTTTTAAAAACTCTTCTGAATTAACTTGGCAGAAGACTGGCCATTCCTGATAGCTTTGAGAATCCTCCCAATTTCTCTTTAAAATTCCATGGAAGATAAACAAAAGGATTGGCAGTGGAAACTAAAGCTGAGAAGACTGTATACAGAAGGCCAGCCGGCTTCTCCACGCCTGGTATCACTCCGAGGGTTTTCTAGGGGAGCACACTCTTGGAAGAAGAGGCACACACTCCGAAGGCTGAACCAGAACAGGACAGATGCTCCCCAAGGGGACCGGACAACCTTCTGACTCATGCGTTCTGTTACTGTGATACATCGGGTTGGCACCAACAAGAAAAACAGACATAGTCCCCAACTTTTGAACATGTGAGAGCCACACTTCTGCCTCACATCTACCAATGTCTTCTTCCTGTTTTTGTCAGTTTCTTCAGCTACTCACCTATGGCTGGAATAGGGGTAGAAAATGGGGTGGAGGGGAGGGGGTGGGGTTTTGGAGAAACAGTTTAGGAGGTCCCAGTGGAAGAACCACTTGCAGATAAAGGGGTATGTCGTTCCCAGAAGAAAACAAAATAGGGTTTGGTGACGAAACCTAAGTGGGGTCCAGGAGATCTGCCCTCAAGGAATACTAGACTTGATGAGCTGAGCTGGGTTCTACACACCAATTATAATCTCCAACCTGGAGAGGAGAGACGTGCTTGCCAGTGTCCAGACCCCCATCCCCAGGCTGGGGTATCCATCCTCCAGGTGCTGTGAGCTGAACCCTTCTCCAGAGTTGATAGGAGCTGCCTCACCTGGAAAGGCAGGGACAATCCCACCCTCCCCCCAGGTCATTACACTCAGCCAGCAACCTGCATTGTGCAAAAGGGCAGCCCCTTGTTCAAGGTGGGACAACCAATGGGACTGCTCACGCTCCAGAGCTCCCCGTGGGCTCAGGTTGAGGTTGGGCTTGAAGCTGAGTCCACGTGTTCACCTGGCTTCTTCCTCAGTCCCATCCTGGACCCCTCAGTCCCTTGCAGGTTTTACCTGCAAACACTCTCACTGAATCACTGCAAAACAGTCCCCATCTCAGGCTCTGCTTCTAGGGACACCAACCTCAGAAGATCTCCTGAACTAATGAATAATCATATAAATAAAGCACACCGAATATGATGGAAATAGAGGTGACACAACAACATTGACGCCTGTAGTTTTTCTCTAATTGTAGAGATTCCAAATTCAACTCCCAAAACTACAGAACCAGAATAGTCTGTGGCTCTTGAAAGGCACTGCCAGATTCTTTTTTGGGGAAGTTGTCCCGACTGTACTAACCTCCAACAATGTTTCAGAGCAGAGATACTAACACAGCAGCCAGCTCTCGGAACCAGCATCATTCCAGGCTCCGAAGATTATCGTTGTGGCTTTTATCTGTGTCTCTTGGATTGCTAACGAGGTTACACATTTCCCCGTATCTGTTTACTCATTGTAGCCCTTTCTTAGGTGCATTTCCAGTCTGAGAAGAAAATTCCATGCCAGGTTTCCAAAGGTTTCAACGCCACGAGATTAATCTCGTTGCGTGTGAGGGCTTTTCAGCTCCATGTAAGACAATTCCAAGTTTAAAAACCGGTCCAAGTCGTCAGGACTGTTTTTCCTGTGGAGAAAGGTTAAAGCAAAGCAGATGTGCAACGGCCTCCCACCTCCTTTCTTAAGCTGCATTGTTTGTCAGGGAGTGTTAACTCTTGAACCTGCACGCAAAAGAAGGCTGAAGAAATCATTTAATGGTCGTTAAAATGACTTTTCATGTCATTTTATTCATAAAAACAAGGGCACTGTATAGCCTGAGCTTCCCTGTGATAAGCGACCTCGTTGGCTTTCCTCCCTCAGCTCTCCTGGCAAACCCCCTGTTTTCCTCAGGACCTTCCTCCTTTTCTTCTCCTCAAGTGCCCTGAATGTATGTGTTCCCCCCAAATTTCTGTCCGTGGGCCTTTCGTGGCTCCCCCTTCACCTTTTCTTTGGGTCATGAATTTGCAGCATGAAATGAATCCATCTGGGGTGGTTTTTCCTGACCTTTCCATTGCACTCAGGAGTGTGGAATTCCTCAGGGTGCTCTACAAACCCAGCAGTGCTCTCCCAGCGACGGGGACCTTCACGATGAGGACACCTGGTTCGCTAGGGAATGCCACAGAGATAACATGGGTGTTTCTATGTAATTCTCATGCCACCACCTGGCCACTGACCTGGGGTGAAAGACGACTTGCTCGCCACAGTCTATGTGCTTCTTGTTACGGGCACAAAACAAGTTGTTGACAAACTGAGCGCAAGGATGCGTGTTTCTAGCCTGTGTTAAAACTTTAAGTTTCTTCGCAAGATCTAAAAATTGGGAGATTTCATACCTGATTTCTAGCTTCTCTTAAAGAAAAAGATATGCTAATATTAGACTCCAAATTCCTGCGTGAATAGAATCGACAAAAGCCTGGTAACGGCTCCAGGTTAACAGTCCAGGTTAACACAGCCCCCACCCTTCCCCATTGCCTTAGACCTCCTCAGACTCCTTTGCCTCTTTGCTTAATATCCATCCTCCCTCATTCTATCCTTCCATCCATCCATCCATCCATGTATCAATCCTTCCTTCTATCTTTCCTTTTTCCTTTCCTTCCTTCCTATACTAACCCTTCCCCTGTCAAAGAGTCTCTCCTCTCATGCTTCCTTCAACTTACCTCACCTCTTCTGTAAAGGTTTTCCTGACTGCCCAGTATCCCCATCTCCTAGTTAAATCATTGACTCTTCTCTAGCTACTCTCTCTGACATGTATATCTGCATGTATTTATCTACACATATTGGACAACCAAGATGTCTATTGAGAGACTAGCATGCAGTAGGCACTCAGCGAGGGGCTGCACGTATAAAATCCAATACAATATGGTCCTGGGCGGCATGGGGTGCACAGTATGTGGCAAGTGTCAGGATAAAAGGTCCACAGAGTGTGGTGGAGAAGTGAGGAAAGGGCCCTCCATCTGGACCAGGCTCTCCAGAGCAAGGGACTTCCTTGATCAGAGATTTGAAGGACAAGGAATTAATGGCTTAGCTAATAAATTGAGGAAAAGTGAATTTTAGGAAATCATAATCTGAGAAGGCACAGAAGCATAAAGGGAATTGCAATCAGCTCTATATTATTACAGATAAGGGTACATTTCCTGAAGCAGCAGAAAAATGAGGCAAGAATCATTTTAACCTACTCTTTGTTCAAATCCATGGTTTCCTTTCACTCCATTTTTTTTTTTTTAAGAAGATGTTGGGGGTAGGAGTTTATTAATTAATTAATTAATTTTTGCTGTGTTGGGTCTTCGTTTCTGTACGAGGGCTTTCTCTAGTTGTGGCAAGCGGGGGGCCACCCTTCATCGCGGTGCGCGGGCCTCTCACTATCGCGGCCTCTCGTTGCGGAGCACAGGCTCCAGACGCGCAGGCTCAGTAGTTGTGGCTCACGGGCCTAGTTGCTCCGCGGCATGTGGGATCCTCCCAGACCAGGGCTTGAACCCGTGTCCCCTGCATCGGCAGGCAGATTCTCAACCACTGCGCCGCCAGGGAAGCCCTGACTCCATTTTAAGTGGTAGAATTGATTAAAGATCATGGTTAAAATACATAAAGGTGATTGTATTTTAGAAGAGAGACTTAATTTTTAACTTAAGAGACCTACATTTTTCATCTTAGTTCTGTGATTTTATGTGACTATGGAGCCCGCTCTCGAGCTTTCTTTGGAAGCTAGAGTTTGGAAGGGATTTTGGAAGCGGGAACACAATACAGGCCATTTTTAACACGAAGCCTATCATGCTGCTTTGTTCTCACAAGCACAGATAGAAAGATTAAAGAGAAGAGGTTCACAAATGGTCATGACAATTGGATAGGGCTGTACAAGGACAGCTCACTTATTGGGGGTAAAATAAAAACTTGTTTTACCCCAGATTTTTCCAAATTATTTTTGGAAGTTACAACACAATCAAATTTGATTCCCCAAATCTTCTCCTGGGGATTGTTTGGCAAATATGAAATGTAAGTGAGGAAAAATTTCCTCCCAACCTTCCAAATGGAGTTTTCTGTCATCGTATCAGGAAAATATAACCTGAATTTATCTTGCAAGCAGACTAGATGTTATTTCACCTTTTATTTTCCCCTGAAATTACTTTCAAGGATTAAGTCAGAAAGAGAAGGGCTTCCCTGGTGGTGCAGTGGTTAAGAATCCGCCTGCCAATGCAGGGGAACATGCGTTCGAGCCCTGGTCTGGGAAGATCCCACATGCCGCAGAGCAACTAAGCCCGTGAGCCACAACTACTGAGCCCGTGAGCCACAGCTACTGAGCCCGCGTGCCTAGAGCCCGTGCTCCGCAACAAGAGAAGCCACCGCAATGAGAAGCCCGCACACTGCAATGAGGAGTAGCCCCCGCTCGCTGCAACTAGAGAAAGCCCGCGCGCAGTAACGAAGACCCAACACAGCCAAAAATAAACAAATAAAAATAAATAAATAAACTTATTTTTTAAAAAAAAAGAAGAAAGAGAGGGATTATTTTGTACCAATAATGTGTTCTCTCTATAGCTGGATTTTAGTTATCACCGCCTGAAGCATACTTAACACACTTTAACATTGGTGTTTAGTGCTTAAAATTTCAGGTTCCACATACAAAGTTCCAAGTATATCTGCCAAATTTGGCAAACCCCCATGAAAGTTATTCATTTTGAAGTAGTAGTTTCCTTGATGTTCTAAAGATAAGGACCCCTGCATTCTTTAGCCAAATACCTTGTCTTCTGATAGCTAATAAACTTCAGAATTGAACATAAGAACTTTGTCGTGAACATTCAAATATTCACAAAGGAAGGTGTGTGCTCTAGCGCTTTTCATGGGGTTGGCTACCTTGATAATGACATGAGTAGTCCTCATAGACTGCTGGGCAGGGTTTTAGATGCTCCCCAGTGAATAAATCTGATTTTTTTCCCCTGCTGAATTCTTCACTGTGAATCCAGTGTTACGGGAGCATCATCCCTGCACATTCCAATGCATGTTTTTAAGCTCATTTGTTCAGAAGAATTTTGAAAGGGCTTCAAAGATATTATTGGTTTGGTTGTAGCCCCCAAGGCTTGAGAAACGGCTTCCTTACTTCCACACCATCTTTAACCACCAGTCACGCATAGAGATAAGGTGTAACACAATGTTCTTGAGGATAATCATAAGATTCATCAGACTAAGGGGAGGAAAAAGCCAGGATTTAAGCTTTTGCAAAACTTAAAAATGTGGCCTCAGCAGATAAGACCTTCTAATTCCTGACTATAGAATTCGAGAAAAAAATTCTGGAATAGCTTTGAAATATCCTCTCAAAGAAACTTTTGGGAGCCCTCAGAATGAATTGTTCCCCGAGAATTTCTCCAGCGTTGTGAAGTTTGGTCCTCCAGTGATTAAAAGGGATACTTGACACAAAATCTTTACAGCCATTACAGTTTTTCTTAATATGTTCTAATATTGTTTAATATTATATACCACAGAGAATTGCACTCTAGTAATAAGATCGACCCGTATAAAAATAAGGTTTGTGTGAATCCAATTTAAATGCCATGATAAATGAGGAGTTTGGGATTAACATATACCCACTACTCTATATAAACTAGATAATCAACAAGGACCTACTGTATAGCACAGGGAACTCTACTCAATATTCTGTAATAACTTATACGGGAAAAGAATCTGAAGAAGAATGGATATATGTATATGTGTAACTGATTCACTTTGCTGCACACCTGAGACTAACACAACATTGTAAATCAACTAGACTCCAATATAAAATAAAAATTAAATTAAAAAAATAAATGCCATGATACCCACGGTGGGGACGACATAGTTCCTTTGATCCGTGTACTTAGGCACAAAAAAGTTGAACGCTTGTCGTCTGTGATAACCTGCTTCCAACCTTGACATACAAGTGAGCCTCATCAGATTTGTGTTTTGGCTGGCATCTTCAGTTGCCTTCTAGAAAAACTTATTCCTTTTTAATGAGGAGTGTTTCCAAGAGTGCCAGGCTGGTTTTGAAGAATAAAGCGATGCTGATGGCAGAAGACGACCCCCTAGTTCCGCCTCATACCTGAGCCCAGGAAGCAAAATATTCGTTCGTTTTGTGTGTTTACCCACGTCGGCCTAACACATGCCGCCGTTTAATGGAGACTTAGACACGATTTAAAATAGTTTTATGATTCTCTGACTTTATTTGCTGTTGGGCTAACGCCATTGTCAAACAATACAGAGATATAAAAAGAGAAAAGAATGATTCCCCTTCTCTTACCAATTCATCCTTCTGAGGTAAGTCGAGTTATGTACCCATCCTCTTCTTCATATGCTCCTGCAAATACATCTTTATATTAACACACAAATACGTGGTGTTTTTACCTTATAAAAATAGCGTTATATTGCACAGTTTTCTGCAACTTGCTTTATCACTTACCAGCTTCTCATGGGGGAATCCCCCTGGACCATACAGACAAATTATTCATTTTCATTTTAAAGAACACCAAAAACTTAAGATTCTGATTCACTTTGCATTAAAATGTATTAAAATGGGGAAGGAATTTTTTAAATCATACTGTATTTCTATCTAGTAACGTAAGTTTTCATTTATTGAGGTGTTTTTAGGGTGTTTTTTGTTTGTTTTGTTAGTTTGTTTTTTGGCTACACAGCTTGTGGGATCTCAGTTCTCTGACCAGGGATTGAACCTGGGCCACGGCAGTGAAAGCCCAGAATCCTAACCACTAGGCCACCAGGGAACTCCGTTATTGAGGTTTTATTTTACATCTTCCAAGAGGAAAAAAAGGTTTTCATGTAGCTATTGTAATTCTTTGTTAATTTTTTTTTTTTTTTTAGATTTGATTACTGTCATGAAAAAGCTTTTATTTCCCATTTATGTTTAAGTGGTTATCACTCGTATGGTAGATTGTACTATTCGTCATTATCTACTTCCTCCATGGTAAGAGAGGTCTGCTTGTTGGACATCATTTGCAGTACCTTCTTAGAGATGAAGCACCCATCCATCCTGTCCCCATTTGTGTTGGCCATGCGACTTGCTTTGGCCAATGAATATATGACATAAACACAGCAAACCGAAGCTTGAAATTCAAGTGTGTGATAATACTTGTCCTCTTGAGCTCCTGCTCTCTGGCAGGAACATGGCCAGGTTGGGGCTGCTTCTTCAGCCTAGATCCTGGAACAAGAATGCTCGTGAAGCAGACCTGCAGCCAGCCCGTAGCTTGGAGCAGGGTAGCTGCCAACCATCAAGACCTGTGAAGGGTGTCATAATTTACTTTACTTTCAAGTTAAGACGTTCATTTGCCCATCGCACGGATGCTGACAGAAGACACAACTCCTAGACCAGAGACAAAAGACGGCAGCCAGAGTGAGCGTCAGCACGTTTGTGTTGGTTCCCCGAGTCTTCATTCCCATGCTGGGGCCCGGATACGTGCCTGAACACAAAGTCGGTTGCATCACAGGAGAGGGACAGTGAACTTGAAATCCCATCACGTCATAGCAAGCAGTAAGCAAGCCTGCTCTTTGCCCCAGAGGTAGGTATTACCTTCTCCCTCAAGGTTGCTCACTGCATACTCAACCCTGAGGAATGGCTGGGTAAAAAAAATGATCAGGGTTTTGAAGGCTTAGCATACCCAGCAGGACACATAGGGACACAAGAGGCTCATGGAAGAGTGTCTCCCACCACCAACCCTCAGGCCTCATGGAATGTCAGTGAGAAATAAATGTTTGCTATTGTATCAGGGTTGTTTTGCTACAGAACAAAGTTAACTGATGCAACAAGTACAGAGGAAAATCCATTGACATCTGTATATGTATCTCACGTCTTGCCACCATACCTTAGTCTCTTATTTAAAAAAATAATTTAGTATAGTTTCTTGAGTTCTCTAAGTATAACAACATCTTCTGCAAATAAAGTGAATTCTCGCTGCCCTCCCCCAGTATTTATGTTGATTGTTATTATTTTGTGTTCTTACCTTCAGCATTAGCCTAAGTTTCTAATTTTTGAATAATAATGGTGATAGCAAACATGCCACTCTTCATTCCAAACCTAACCTTTGATGCTTTGCTTGTGATGCTGGGGCTGGAATTCAGCAGACCGTGTTTTTGCTTTGCAAGGTGGCACCCTGTTAAACTGTGCTGATAAAGAGTTCACTGGCAGAGAGCTCCCAGGAAGGAGAAGGAAGCAGGGATTGTTCCTTACTGTTTGTTTTCTGGTCACTCCTTATTTGCTCCCTGTTCTATGAGCGTCAACCTACCAATGCTGCTTCATCCTGACAGAGCAGTTCCTTCCCACAGCAGCAGGATAATCCCATGAACAGTTTTCTAACATGTGTAGGAACCGCCTCTTTGCACCCCCAACTCAGAGATACATGACATCTGCGTTTCATTTCCTCGAGGCCTTTCTCTAAGCGTCTAAGCTTTAAAAACTCCAATTTCTCTTCTTGATCCCACTCCATCATATAGTGGTAGCTGTTTTCTGCAGTTGCTACCTCTGTGATCCCAAGTTCTCTTTTTGTTTTTAAGCTACCTTGTGAAGTTGACACCTAGGTAATAATTCTTTATATTAAATTCTCTCTGCTAAAATAACTGGTGTGATGTCCGCCTCTTGACTGACCCCTGATTGAGAAAGTAGCTATCCCTATTTATTTTCTGATTTTAATGATGATGCTTTACCCATTAGCCTTTTAGCCCTGTAACTGCTGGGTTTTGGTTTTTGGTTGATTGTTATTGAAGTTTATCAAGTGTGTTTCTTGTATATATTGACAAATGCATTTTTTCTTTCTTGTTAATGTAAGAAACCAGACATTTTTCGTAATGTTGAATCATCCTATTCCGTATTTCTGGAATAAATAACTAATAGTTAACACATTTGTAGCACTTACTACACATGCTCCAGGCATTTTATATATATAAATTCACTTAGCAAACCTCCTTGGTCATGGCTCATAATTACATTGCCAAATGTTTATTTAGAACTTACATTTATAACTGAAATTCAACAATATTTGGAGTTTTATCTCTTGTATTGATATGACTTGTTCCTACTATCTTATCACCTCTATCGAACTGAAAGATCCTTGAAAATCAATGTCTTACTGTGCAGTCAGTACCTCAGTATCATGCAAGAGCGTGTGATTGATGTTTGTTGAATGATTAAACACACTTAATAGATCTAAAGTAAGTCTACTTTATGAAAATTAGCATTTATTCTGTAACATAAATTCTGATTTCACACATTTAAAAATATTTGTAAGTAATAAAATACATAAAAATGGATACATTTAATATTAAACTAGACTTTTCTGGGCATATGTATGCATTTCAGAACGCTAACATTTTAAGAATTATTGCTTATCCTGTCTCCTTAAATGTCTCTTCATAGAGTTTTAAAATTCTCCAACATTTTGTTAATAGCAATAATTACTGTTGTATATTTTTGAGTTACTGCATTATGTTTTGTGATGTAGATTATATCAAAATTATTCCTTTTTCCAGAAGATTAAAGACAAATTAGTAAAAGATATGCATCAAGGATTCTTAATGTATGAAACCATTTTCAACAAAATGTTTTTTATTTAAGTCAAAATTGGATTTCCACGGTTTAGGGCTTCAGGGCTTCTAAGCCATTGCTCCCACAGATTTAAGACTTGAACTGGACATCAAAGGTTATCGTGCGGCCTCTTCAAGGCACTAGCTAAAGTTTTGGTAACCGTTTTCTGTGGTTTAGCTTTGCTTGAATCCTTCCCTTCAAAGCAGCTGTTGCTATGTCATTGAGATTAAGTTTAAGGACAAGATGTGTTATTATTTATTTGTATGTTTTTTTCAATTGTATTTTAAGGACCTTCTGTGTGCACAGGAAAATACTGGCAGACGGGTAAGTAAAGATGTTATCGTCTACCACCAAGGATTGTGCAACGTAAGGACCCACATGCAGACCCACATTTTATATAGAAATAACATTGTGGGACAAACTTTTTTTTGCAATCCCAAAGCAATAGGAAAAAGAAAAAAAAAAACCTATCATAAGGAGAGGAGCACAGCGCTATATTGGCACCCTGAGGATTTTTTCCTTATTTGTTTTTGCTATTGTTGTTTTAATTCTAGGTTCTGATTTTATGTAGTTTGGGGGGTAATGACTGGGCATTTATGATCACAATCACAAAGGATCTTTTTCTCACACCCTTTCATCATGTTTGGAAGCAGTAATATAAACCATGGTAATAGAAATTATTTTACTATTATTTATTTTTTCACCTTCCCTAATACCCTAAAGTTTATAACTCTAATTTTCATGAGTAGGAACGACATATATGTGTGTGTGTGTGTGTGTATATATATATGTGTATATATATATACATACATACATATATATCCTTTTTACTGAAACACAGTAGTTTTATAAAGCTTGGGCTGGATTTATTTGAAAAAATACTCTATTTTAATTCATTATGTAGCCTTTTTAATAAAGTCTAACTTTATTAAAGTGACCTAAAATTCATTTTATCAGTTCAATTCACTTATCTCAGCCTATGTGGTTTCTGTGTGTGTGTGTGTGTGTGTGTGTGTGTATCATCCACCTGATGGTGGCAAAAATGCTACACAGTTTTGAAAACTACAAATATAAAGAGCTATTTTGATGATCATCTAATTTTAGAAGCAAATTATGGCATAGAACTACAGTTTAATTATATTAAGTATAGTCTCCATTACTGTCCCATATTTTTATCTCAGTTTTCACTTCACCTCTGAACATAGATTCTTCTTTTCATAGGTTTTCCTGAATTATGATTTAAAGACAAGGAAATAAGAAATGCATATAGTTTATAGTGTGTTAAGTGACAGGCACGATCTATTTCAGGAAATTAAAATGGCAACCTGGGGGAATTTGTTTTCTATAAATTAGGTTTATTAAGAAATACAAATTTTCTCATTCGCATCAATTACATAATATTTAGAAACACTAGAAAGTTGGTAGTTTAAAACTTCACACAATTGACTTAAAGAAGAGGTTTGTTCAAAGTTTTTCACCAACTCTCTGGAATGCCAGTCATAGGATAAAACATAAGACATACTATCTATTTTTTTCTGGTGCTAGCAGCCCCTTTATTGGGTGGCTTAAGAACTGTTCAGTTTTCTGTACAGTTTTTGATTGCTTTTTAATGTTTTTTTTTGTTTCATTCTTTTTAAAATGTTGATACTATTTTCACAGGAAAAAAAAAGAAACATAGACCAAAATAAGAAAATTATGTTGAGCAAATGTTAATGGAAATTGACTTAGGTTTTAAAACTGAAGTGGACACTTTTGAGCTGTGAAGTTCTGAGTTTTGTTTTATTTTCATCAAAAATTCTCAGATTTTATGAGAGCAACTGAAGTCAGGAGACCATCCTGAAGGAAAAATTGGGGGGGAAAAGGTGAAAATAGAATATTTCAGTTGCACAGCAACATCTTTGCTGTTTTGAAAATAAATCTTTGCAGGTGTGTTTCCGATCTGACTTTCTTGCTCAGGGAAGAATGTTTATCATTTTCTGAATTTACCAGCAATTGGTGTGCACTGAGGGCTCATTTATTTCTTACAAAATGTCGCTAACTCACTCCTGTCCTCTTAAATTTAAAACAGCTGCTAGCCACTGGCAGGATCTAAATCTTAACAGAGACAGAATTCCAGACTCTCTGGATGCCTGTATTACACTCTTGTTAATAACGATCTCTGTCCGTCAAGGTGACGACAGGACAACGTGGGGCTATACACGTTTTCTCTGTCCATATGTAAAAAGCTAAAGCTTTTATTTTGTTAACAAAAACCCCATGATTTCATTAAATAACCCCTCTGATTATTGGTGTCATTTGATGAAGCACTATAATTTAGTTTTGCTTGAAGCCCCCTAACTTCCAAAGTTGTTTCCTTTCTAGGCAGTTATATTTTTAATGTTATCTGGGAGTTAGAGTAGCCTTATTTACTGGAAGTAGCAGAGGGATCCAAACTCAACTTTAAAAGGTGAGGCAAGTTTGGGAAAAGAAACATATTCTCTAGTTTTCAATTGTTTAGAATTTTATTTTCAGATACCATTTTCACAATGTAGAATTTATAATCTCAACATTTCCTTGGAAAGAAGACAATAATTTCAACTTTTCCAATGACTACCTCACTGTTTAAAATAAGAATTTTGACATAAGCCTTAAATACCGAGATTTTCAGTCAAAGATACAATACTGCTTACTTTACCAAAAAGAAATCATTTTGTTTTTCTTAGGTTTTCTTGCAGAACGACTGTTCAATTTCTATAAAGATAGATTCATCTGTTGTGAACAAGGCTGAAGATTATTTTCATGCATAAGATAAATCACTGGAAGAGACAGTAAAGCATTCAAAATGTACTTTATGTCCTAGCAGAGAAAAATCCAAATCACTCTTCTCCACAGTGCATTCATGGTTTCCTGCAAGATAAGATCTCATCCTGTTAAGGACTTCATCTTGGAAGAAGAGAGAGCATCATCTCTCAAGGGAGCTCCAGTATCATAATTCATAAAATCAAATATATCAATAAACACAGCTCTAATTTTAAAATAGCCATCCAAGTCTCTGGAACCTAGTGCCTAAACACTCGATGTTAAACTGTAGTATTTTATAATAACATAAATCTGTAAAAGAGAACAAATAATTGTTTAATTATTTAAAAGTTTTCATTCTCATGAATAAAATTTAAATGCTCAGCAATCCTTAATTACTACATTTGGAATCCCTTCCTTAGTGATGAGAATTAACTTTGCAATTTAATTTGCCGCTTTACCATGTGAAAAAGAAAGATAAAAAATAAGCCTCTTGGGAACGGGAAGAAAATTTCCAGTCTCTCACCAGCCAATCCAGTTTTTAATCAGCACTTTCTCTCTCTCGACATTATTGGCATTTTCACCCCCATTCCTCCCCCAGTTCTGGTTTACAGACATAACTAACTGTACAGATCTGAGGTTTGGATTTCATTTCACCTTGAAGTGTTTGCCTAGATTTGTTTTACTGGTCAACATGGTAGTCCAGAATGCAGAAAAGATTTTAAACAAATTATAGACGCTGCTAAAGAAGATACATGATATTCTAGGTATAAGATATCAGGAAAGAAGTATAGCAAAAATTTCCAAATGTTTACTACTTTTTCTTATAGTGTCAGGCTTACCTCTAGGTGGTCACAAAGCACTGAGCTGATCTCCCTGTGCTATGTGGCTGCTTCCCACTAACTATCTATTTTACATTTGGTAGTGTATATATGTCAATACCACTCTCTCACTTCATCCCAGCTTACCCTTCCCCATCCCCGTGTCCTCAAGTCCATTCTCTATGTCTGTATTCTTGTCCTGCCCCTAGGTTCTTGAGAACCTTTTTTTTTTTAGATTCCATATATATGTGTTAGCATACGGTATTTGTCTTTTTCTTTCTGACTTACTTCACTCTGTATGACAGACTCTAGGTCTATCCACCTCATTACAAATAGCTCAATTTCGTTTCTTTTTATGGCTGAGTAATATTCCATTGTATAAATGTGCTACATCTTCTTTATCCATTCATCCGATGATGGACACTTAGGTTGTTTCCATCTCCAGGCTATTGTAAACAGAGCTGCAATGAACATTGTGGTACATGACTCTTTTTGAATTATGGTTTTCTCAGGGTATATGCCCAGTAGTGGGATTGCTGGGTCATATGGTAGTTCTATTTGTAGTTTTTTAAGGAACCTCCATACTGTTCTCCATAGTGGCTGTATCACTTTACATTCCCACCAACAGTGCAAGAGGGCTCCCTTTTCTCCACCCCCTCTCCAGCATTTACTGTTGGTAGATTTTTTGATGATGGCCATCATGAATGCATTTTAAAGTATTTAAATGAATGAAGTTTTTTACAAGGAAGTTTTAAGTGAACTGAGAAGTTACCAATCTAGTCTCTTAATTAGCTGAGAAAAGCTTCTTGAGAAAAATGGGGTTTAAGGAGTACAAGCTACAGAATATCTGGATCTTCTCCTTCCTGCAAACTGGGGGGTTCTTGGAGTTCAGCTGCTATCTTGGATGGAGAGGTGACTTTGAGAATGTAGATCAAGCATTGACTGAGCAACAAGATGGAAAGAGCCTGAATCCCTGGCACCACTGTGGGCGAACTTGTCCTGGACCACATATATCCAGACAGTTTTACGCATCGAGAAATAAACTTCAAATTTGTTTAAGCCTGTTATCTCAGGGGTTTTCTGTCACTTGCATCCAAACCTTATCTTGACTAATGTCAACAGCAGTACCTAAAGTGTGACTAGACAAGAGAATCTCCCCCAAATAACAGACTTATTAAATACCCACATTCTATACAGCCTCGGAGCTCACTTTAAAGTATAATTTAAAGGTGATTGAGTCGACCATTTGTGGTATAGAACAAAACGGAAACGTGATAATTAACAGGATAATTAACTTTCCTTCTCCCATGTTGTTACCTGAGAACAGAGGCCAAGGGAAGGAGAGAAACTTCTGTGACTCTCTGCTGGGTAAGCCTGTGTGCTCTGTGAATGCAATCCGTGCAACACGCACATAGGCCTGGCCATACTGTGCATCCAACCTTCTATATTGCACTTCAATTTTTCTTAAGTATTTTTCTTTTTTGTTTAAATACCAAAAAGCAATATCTTATTGGAAAAAATCTCTAATGCACAAGAAGTTTATTCTCTAGAAGACAGACATAGAAACAGTGAAAAATCTATCTATAGGGCAAAATGTAACTATTGAAAATCATTACTTCACTTAGAGCATTAGTGGATTTCTGAGCAAAGCTGTTTATTTTTCAGGTTTTATGATCCTTCTTAAGCTAGAGTCTTAAAATGATCCAGCCCTTCACTTTCAAGGTCCATCATAAACTCCAGTGCCACATGGGTAGCTTAAATAGCCCCCAGTTGGGGTTATGGGAAAACAGGGAACATCTGTGTCTCTGAACTGGGCAGCTTCACTCCAACGATGAATGCCCTGGGTGAAGAGGGGGGCTAACATCATCAGAGCCTCTGATATTTGGAAGAAGCCAAAATACTTGCTTTTTAAATGTTATCTTCTGATATTCAAGAATTTAAAAACACAACATGGACCAAATCGAACACCTCAGTGACCTGAGCACCATCTCTAGCTTAAAGTCCAGGTGCAACTGGATCTGACCTTGCAAAATCAGATTTTAAAATTTAACTTTAATTTGGCCTCATTATATTGCTTTAACTGATTACAAACTGCCTGAACCCAACGTAAAGTGTAAACAATAAATGACACTTTGTCAAGTAGAGAAGAGACATGCCGAATTAATTACCAAGGGGAACCTTCACATACCTTTAGAGCCAAATAGAACTCAACTGGGATAAAACTCAGAGAAGTTGTGACTTTGTTTTCCCAGAACAACAGGGCTTTGCGGATAATCAAAGAGTTTGGGTGATGACAGTGATGACTTTTGTCTCCTAGGTTGCACCCACCTGTCACCTGTCAGGGAGATGACATACCCGCCTCAACTGAATTCAAGAAATTTGCCCGATGCCTTTCACATTCCGGAAACTGTGTTAGGTGCTAAGGACACAAAGTTGAGCGAATCAATCTCCGTCTTCAAAGAATTCATAGCTTAGTGGGGAGAAAGACGTATAAGCATTTATAAAGCAGTATACTGTGTGCTATTAAATCAAAGATGCTATCTGTGATAAGATAAATCATTATTTTTTTGTAAAACGAAGAAAAAAATTAATTAAATTATGTTATCCTTTCCATTTTAAGATGCATTCTGATTTGAGAGATATTTAAATGTCATGTGCTATAGAAGTTTCTTTAAGGAGCAGAGGGAAGAGATGGTTTGACCACCTGGGCAAAGCAATGAGCTCCAGGGTAGTATTTAAGGCTGAAATTGGGAGTCAGATAACTTTAAGCTACGTGACCTAGGGCAAGTCACTTAACATCACTTTTTCTCTCATCTGTAAAAGACATAAAAATAGTAGCTACTCTGAAGAGTTGTTGTGAAGGTTAAATAAAGATTTCACATAGAGCGCTGATCAGTGATTTAGATCTAAGCGCTCAAAAAAAGTTGGCTGTTTTTAGCAGAGAGAGTTAATGATAGGACTTGAAGAAAGACTAGGTCTTTTCCAAGAGATAAGGGAGAAAATAGATCCCACGGAGGAAGAACAGAATACACAAAGACTTCAAGCCTGTTTCTGGAACATTCTGCTTGACTGCGGTGCTGTGGTAGGTGAGGTTTCTTCCTTGAGGAATTCTGGATCTTTCTGACACCTTCTTCTTTCCCCTGCACCTTCTTCCCCTGCCCTCGAATCCCAACACACCCACGAGGCAGCTTGGTTCCTTCAGCTTTTCACTCAAAAGCATGCACCTGGCCCTTTACTCAGTCACGGACTTGGCCTCTCAGAGCCACACCACTGGTGACTTGCTTTCCTTTTCCCTCCTCACTCCCCCACCCCACTCTTGCCTTTGGGAGAAGCCTTTGTCCAATATCCTTTGTCTGAAAGGATTCACTGCTGTTCCCTAGTGCCTGTCAATTTCTTTCCAGGGACTTCATGCAAATAAGGGTGCAGGTGGCCTGCACTGATTTCGCAGAGTTCCCTGAGGGCTAACACCCTATTAGGGCTTTCACTCTGAACAACGTTCAGTGATCCTAATCCCCTCCGAAGCTTGGAGAAGTTACTGGATTTCTCCAAATAACTGGGCACAGAAGTACCCAGGCAAGCGGACCCTGTTCAGGGTTTTGCGATATTATGCTGCACCATCCTTCAAACAGTTATTCCTCCTAAAGGATTTTTCTTCTCGGTATTATTTCTATTAACACAGTGCCCCCTGTTTAGAAAGCAGCTAGTATCCTGAGTAAGAAACCAGCCAGCGTGTGGATTTGAGGTCATGTATCCATCCGTTCATTCCTCCACACATCTTTAGTGAGTACCTGCTCAGGGTAGGGTCCTCAGGTACCAGTAAACCTTTGAGGTTGAACAAGACCAATATTACCCCTACTCTCACAGAGCATACAGTCGAGCAGGGGAGGAGGTGAAAATCATTTCCAAGGCCCAGAGCAAAGGCAGTTTAGGCAAAGCTTCTCGGAGGAAGCTTCTGCAAAGGAGAGACCACAGGATGGGGAGAATTAGCTAAGTAAAGGGATGAGAGAAGAGAGGTGATAAAATGAGATATGAAATAGAACTTTGCAAACCGTGTCACAGCAGCTGTAAGATTGTAGGCTTATGAACGTACCTCCTTCTGCAGCCCCCCAATCTCTGTCCCCAGTCTTTCTTCCACCAAGCTACCCATCTCTGCTCCTTTCTCATGACAACCTCTCTTTTTTTGGGTGTAACTCTTGTTTTGTGGCTGTTTATCATGTTGTCATTATTACAGTCTTGGTCTTTGTCCTGGAGACAAGAGCCCTTCTGGATGTAGAAGTGACCTGGTTATTGTGTTGATTACCTCGACCAGATCCTGGAGCTGGGAGGGATGCAAGGGGGTTGGAATGGGATTTGGTTTGTCTTGATCTTGATTCTGAATGATGCAATATGCATAGAAGTCAGGCAAGTGGTGGTTATAATAGTGTTTCTGAAACTTTTTGAATTGAGATCCATGGTAAGAAATACACTAACATAGCAACTCGGAAAACACACACGTTACCGAAACAGTAGTTTACTGAAGCTTGTGTTTTGGGAACAATTACCCTTATTGCACGGGATACAATTTGATATTTGGGATTCTGATTAGTGTTTTTCAGGCTGGTAATCCATTAATGGGTCACAAAATCAATTTACTAGGTCATGATGAGCACCTCAAAAATGGAAATAGAAGTGCGGAGACAGGCCAGGAAATGGTGAAGAAGATACCCCTACACTGTGGTCAGTCTTTAGGAGCTAGAATTTACAGATCTTGCACTTTCCAAGTCCCTGTTTCTTGCCTTGTTACTTGAAACTCAATACAGATCAGTGGTTATGGCTGCAGATTCTAGAGTATCTTGACTCTGTTACTCAGAGGCTGTGAGACGTGTGACACTTGGTCTCCTGCACTCTGCTTGCCCCGTGTGTAAATGGGAGATAATAACAGCACTTTCCTCAGCCAGTTGCAAGGATTAAATGAATTAATGCAGTGTCTGGTGCATATAAACACTCGACAAATATTAGCCATTATATTTCAACCTTTTGTTTTCCCCTAGTGTTAAGGTTCAGCTTTTCGCAGTTTGCCAATAGGACAAAAGGAACAGTTATGAAGTACAGGGCCCTGGAACCCAGCTTGCTAGGGGCAGCAGATACCAAAGTGAAACAACCACCAGGGGAAACTGAAACCCCAAGGGCCAGAGTGAAGGAAGGTCCTTAGTCCTTCCAGTGCTAACCCTTGAATGTCCAGGGATTTGTTTTGTTTTTGTTTTTCCTTAAAGAAAGCAGTTCTCCTAACAGTTCCTCTCTCTAATATCAACATACATTTGACCCTAGCTCCTGGCTACTTATCTAGATCAGATTCCAGTCTGTTACAGAAACTTGACTGTATCTGATCATGTATTTCCCCCAAATTTCTACTTGATATTCCCTGAGGTTCCTCTCCTTGTTTGGGTACGCTTCCTGCCTGTCAATCTTTTGTTGGCCGCATTACTTCTTTCCTGCATCTAGTGAGACAGGAGGCTTTTGTTTTTGTTTTGTTTTGTTTGAAAATCTTGGGGTATCAAGAGAAAAAAATTGCTAAATAATAAGATGAGAAGAAAGGAATGTCTTCTGTCATACCATCTTACAGAGGCAAAAGTATTTTGTATTGAAGAACTTTTAATGCATTTGGTGTATACTTCTTAACCATTTCCATTCCATAAAAGGACAGATGACATATACGATGTGTGGGACGCTCCCATAGGAGTATCTAGAATCTCCTTAAAGAAGGATTCCAATTTTGGGGATTTTATAAGCATGTAAATAATGAAATTTACAATTTAAAGTTTTCTTAAAATTGTTGTTTTGCAAGGAAAATATACTGTCATTTGTTCAATATGCAGAAGTTTTAAAAAGTGCTTATTTTTCTATAACTGCTCCACAGAACAAAAACCTTATTTTTGTTAAAATTGTTATCTACAAACTCTAAAAATTTCTTATGTCATTTGATAATGATCGTTAAAACCTTGTATGATATATTAAGATAAAATGTACGAATAATATCCAAATCAGAAACTTCTCTAAGCTTTAATTACTTACGTGGATTTTTCCTGAATAATACGTTTATTTCTAACCAGCCCAGATATCAGGCGTTAAAGGCTAACATTCCCCAGCATCACTCTTTCCTATAAAAATACTGCAGTATTTTCAGTGAGAGTGTAAACAAACAATTGTTTCAGGTTTTATTTACACTGGAGCTGCCGGGCAAAATTCCCTGCTTCATCTAGCTATTTGTCGTGATTCCAAGTCAGTTTTTAAAAGTGATCCTTTCTCTCTTCAGTACTTCCTCCTTAGCGTCTATTTCCAAGGCCTGTTCTTCCCATTCTTTATTTTTCAAGACATATTTGCCTGAGCCACTTTTAAGCATCAAGTTTTTTTTTCTGCCTATAAGAGTAATAATATAAGAATCCAACAAGTCAGAAATAAATGTTTAGCATATTGCTGTCGGCTTCTCGAGCCTTCCTTTTTCCTTCCACTGAGCCATCTTTGAACCAGCACTCTTCATTTTTAAGAACACAGGAAAGAGCCTAAAAAGGGGCAGAGACCCGTGGGACGGGCGCAGGAAGGTGTCGTCACGCGAGGAGGAGGTGGCGGAAAGTTTACAAGAGCGAAGAAGCGAACATCCTTGTTTGCACAGATCATCGCCTGCTAAGCTTAATAGAGGAGAACGGTAGTCTGCAAGTCGTCTCACTGAGCCAAAGCGGGAAACCCAGTAGGAAGGGTAGAGGCTAAAAACTCAAGTAATAAGGCTAGAGGAGCCGCCGGGACAGGGTGGGGCCGCCGGGCGCCCGCCTAGCCTCGAGCGGGAGCCGGAAGGGCGGGCCCTAGGGGGCGGGGCCGAGCCGATGTGGGCGGGACCAAGAAGGAGCAGGTCCGGTTGGGGCGGGGCCTAACCAGAGTGGGCGGGGCCAAGCCAGGGCCTATCCAGTTGGGGCGGAGTCTCGAGGGGGCGAGGCAGGAGCAAAGGCCGGTGGGGGAGCTGACCCCGCCCGGCCGAGGGGCCCGTAGCACCTGGTGAAGAGCAAATGGCTGTTTCCTCATGTGGAGGACTTTTAAGGAACACGTGAGGGAGGGAAGGCAATGTCTGTGGAAAATCTACCTCACAACCCTGGCGTCCTGCTCCAGCCCCCGGGCGACAGCCCGCTTGCTGTGTTCCCAGGGTCTTTGCAGCCACGTGGGCCGTCTGCGCCTGCGCCCGCGCCCAGGGCTCCGCGGCGGGGCGGGGCCGCTGAGGAAGGGCGTGTCTCCCGCCGGCGCGCGGGGGGCGGGGCCGTGGGGGGGCGGGCGGCGGCGACCCGCGGCCTGACCTGCCCGGGCGCCGGGTCTCATGACGTCACCTCGCCGTGACGCGCACGCGGTAGGAAAACTGTAAGTTTCTGAGGATTCCTGCAGTTCCCCGGGCCTGCGGGGCTAGCCCGGCTGCTCGCACCCCCGGAGTCGGTGGTGGCCGTGGGTTCTGCTCCTGGGGCGGTCCGGGGAGCCGCTGAACGCGGTGACGGGACAGGTGCCCGCCCGGGCGGGGAGCGCGCCCTCCGCGGCGGGAGGGACGGGCGTGCGAGCAGGCGAGGCCGCGCCCTGGCAGCACCGCAGCGTCTCCCCTGGGGCCGATATCGAGGCCGGGGAGGGGGGAGTCCGGGGGGGAGAGGCCCCTTTCTTTCTTCCCCGATGGGGGCACTGGGTTCCCCTCTGCACATACTGAGTCAGGGGTGCAGGGTTCCTGCGGAGACACCCCGCCCCCCCCGCCCGGGCTTCCTCTGGGGTCCCGCGAGCGACCAGGTGGCTGAGGCGGAGCCACTTGCAGGGATGACCACTTGCTGCCTCAGTGCCCTTTTCGCGTACACTGGAGGCGAAGCGGCCTCCGGCCTCCCTCCGAGGCAGCCCCAGGGCCGGGCGCGTCGTGAGAGCACGCGAGGTGACACTAGCATGTGACCGCGCCAGGAGAAAGCGTACAAAGGCAGTGGGCTACTCTGCGAACGTGGGGACCCGCAGCCCTCTGACAGAGGTCTCTTGGGCCGGGGTCCTTGCCGCAGGTCTGCCTCCCGCCTTCCTCCGCCCGCTCTGATCCTGGACCGCCCTCGAGCCCGACGGCCGATCTGAACGTGGTGGACGGGGGCCAAGAAGTCGCTGGAAGCGTCACCGCAGCGCTCTCGGCGATTATGAGGCCCCGCCGTGCGGGTTTGCAGAGAGAACTCTGAGCGCCCCGGAAGAGTCGCGGGGTGCTGCCGTGTCCCCTTGGAACGCCCCGCCGTCGTAGCTGCCTGCCCGCCCGGGCTTGGTGCGCCGCCGACGCGTTAGTGCTGTGCCAGAATCGTTCTCAGATGCAGGGCAGGTGCTTGTCAGGAACTTCGAAGGGCGGAGGACCAGGCACCCACGGTGTATTTATTCAGGAGACTGAGAGATCACGTTTCCGTAGAGTCAGCTCCAGGGCCTAATACTCTTCCATCCTGGTTTGAAGGGCCTTAGACTGGGAACGCAGGGGTTCGAACCTTTGTTCTGCTCGTTACTAGCCTTTGCGTCCAAAGATGAGTCACCCAAACTTGGAACGTGAGCCTTCTCCCTGAAATGGGAGATGATGGTATGCGTAGTATCGCTCTCCTGAGGTTCAGCTGTGGTCATGAAGGTGAAAACGAGAGTACGGTGTCGTTACTAAGAAGTTCACGCCGGTTCCCTAACCTGGGGAAGAGGTGTGTTGTGCTCTCAGAGTCAGGTCCTGGGTCAGAAGCGGAACTAGAGCATCAAATGAGATGACATGTCCAACCTAGTGGAGCTCACGTTCCGGCGGGGCACTGGGCAGCAAAGAGCAAGGACGTGATGTTATTTCAGACGGCGGTAAGTGCGGTGAAGCAAAGGAAGACAAGGCCAAGAGTGGGAGAGCAGGGCAGGTCGTTTCAGAGGGGGTCTGTCTGGGGACACCTCTCAAAGGGGTTGGTAGTTGAATGGATTGACGGGAGAGGAAGAGCCTGAGGTAAGAGCATGTCAGGCAGGAATAATCATAGCAGTGAACCTTGCCTGGAGCTTACTGTGTGTGAGGCCCTCGTCTAAACGCCTAATGAAGTCTTTACAGCCTTCTGAGGTCTGTATTACTATCGCCATTTTTATCGATGGGGATAGGGCCCTTGTGGGCGTGGGGCAGTGAAGATGCCCCTCGAAGCGTGATGGAAAGCCACAGGGAGGCTTGCATCACGGGAAGAGCGTCTGACTTCAGTGCTCTTGGAGAGTTAGCCGGAGGGTCGTGGAGCGGGGAGGGTTGAGAGCGGGGAGGTGGGAGAGTCTTGCTGCCCCTGGGGAGAGACGGTGGGCGCCTGCACTAGGGAGGTACTGGCGAGGTGATGGTACGTGGGCAAAGTCGTGGAAAGCTTCTGAAGCCGGGAGTGCTGGTGTGGACTTGCTAGTTGGAGGGTGGGGAAAAGGAAGAAGTGATGACTTCTCAGGTTTTAGGCTGGAACAGCTGGATGGATAGTGGCGCTGTTTCCCGAGACGAGAGAAAGGGGTTTGGGAAGAAAACCGTGCATTCTGTTTTGGACGAGTTTTAGATGCCTGACATAGTAACAGCAGTATTGGCGCTAGGAATAACAGTAAGCACCGTGTAAGCGTGAACTGTGTGCCCGATGGGGTTTTAAACATGTTCACACATGTTAATTCATTTAATCCTTATATCACAGCTGTGTGTGCCAGGAGCCCTCAGGGCCCCCACTTTACGCGGGAGAAGACAGAGGCACAGAGAGGTTCAGAGTGGCCCGCCTGCTGGCACCCAGCTGGGCAGTGATGGAGCTGGGATTCAGACCCCAAGCCGTCTGACTTCCAAGCCCATGCAGTTTATCCCTGTAACGCCCTGCAAGTCGACACGTTGAGTAGGCCCTTGGGTGTATGGATGTGGAACTCAGGGCAATGGTCAGGGCTGAAGACACACGTTTGTGTTTCTTAAGAGAAAGCCCTCTTTGGTTCCTCATTAAGCCTTGATTGGCAAGGGGAGAAAGGAACACAGGCAGTTGGCGCTGTGCTAACTGGCCTTTCGTTACTTGATTCCGTTCAGGCAGCCAACATCCATCCAGGCTGAGGTTCGTATCTCTTCTACTTCTCTGTCTCTAGTCCCGAATCTGGTGCTTGCCATGGAGTAGATGTTAGGCATGACTTTATATGCAGGATATTGGCTGAGGTTTGGGGAGTTCAGAGATGAATAAAACATAGCTCTCTTTCTGGAGGAGCAGAGTGTGAGGAAGGACCCGTGGGGATAAAACTAGAGTGGACGGAGCGCACACTAATGAGCTCATCCTGGCCCTCTTGCCGCCCCCGCTCTGCCCCGCACGCTTGAGGGGTGGGGCGGGGCGGGGTCAGAGGAGCAAAAGAAGGCCTGAGCGGTCGCAGGATGGATTCGAGGTTCCCCAAGAGTCCTTTTCAAGAAAAGAATGACTCAGAGCCTTGCCTAGTTTACTATATTTGCATTAGTTTTATTTGGCAACCGTATAATTTTTCCCAAGTGAAATACAGTTTGATATTTGAATATCATGGTGGAGTGATGAGTTTTTCCAGTTCTGTTACATCAGTGTTGACAGGGCCAGCTGGTGAAATAAGGGAGTTGCCTTAAAATGTTGCAGCTTGCATAATAGAGGGCGATGGAGGGGTTGTGTGAAGTGTTTAGGCAGGTTTCCGCCCGGTTAAGTGAATCAGGCCAAAGTTCCACACATCGGAATGAGTTTGAGTTTCTCTGCGGATCATCCCGTTAACACTGAGCTGTATTTCTTGTCAGAGAAAGAGGATCTGGTGATATTTGTCATGAGTGGAATTGTGTGGAACAATGTGGAAACACAGGAACTTGAACCATACATACAAGAATAGGTATGTTATTTCTGTGGGTTTCTTTCAGGGCGTACTATAACCTCCATACATGTATCACAATTTTATTACTTCCTAATGTGAGTATTTCACATCTGAACCATTGCAGATTATATATTGATAAATTTATGCCATTGTAGATTTCATGATTAATTCAGAGCTTTTCCCCTACAACAGATAGCAGTTATATTTTGTTTAGCTTTTTTAGCTTTCAGTGGGAGAGTTGATCTGAATAACCGAGTCCCAGGGCTCTAAAACAGGAATCCTCCGCAAGTGTAGAAGTGGAGATGTGCTGTCTCATTTTGCAGTTCACAAAATCTTAAATCTGCTATCGTAGCGTCCCTAAATTTAATGGAGTTGAAGTGATTATCACTATTTTTTTTAACCACAATTGCAGTTAGCTTCCTCAAGAACATTAGATATGGTATAAAGTAGAATTGCGTCTTAAGTGGCCTGTTGATGACTCAGGCTTTGTCACTTTTTAAGTTCAGGCTCTGGGACAGCAGGTTGACGATTAATTGTGTCAGGTAGCTCCCGGCAGAGGGGCAGTGATGGTCAGCCGTCCTGTTTGAAGACAACAGAAGCCACTCTTTCTAACACTGACCAGGTGAAATATAGCATCCTAGATAACTTATCCGAATTGCGTTTAAAATTTATATTTACCTAGGCAAATTTAAAAAACTACCATGTTAAGAGTACCAGTGTAAGTACTGATATTATGGAAATTGTTTCTTGTAGAAAACCATGTGTCTAGCCCAGTGATGGAATGTAGTAGGCATTAAATGTAATGCTTAAAATTCTACTTCGTATGGTTTCTTTTATTTTTGCACATTACCTTCAACATATATATTATATGTTTACAGTAATAGCTGAATACTAATTTGGGTAATTTTACTTAATATTTTAAATGTTTAATTTTAATAATTTAAATAGCTATGGAACACTTAATTTTGATTAATTTCATATTTGGTTGCTTAGAAATTAAAACGTCAAGGCTTGATTTTTTTTTTTCTTTTTCAACGTAAACACTAACGAATAAGAATTAGTAAGTCTGGGTGGAGACTAAGCTTTAGTGACAGGCTAACCAAATTGTTAGCCCAAAAAAACTCCCAAGAAGAGAATTCTTAGAGAGGATGAGGCAAAAACAGCATGTTGATGGAAGAGATAATTGAACCATAACTCCCTACGGTACCTGTAATTCTTCTTACGACGTTACTGTCTTACAGACAGCATTCTTTTCTTGAGTTCTTATGTTGCAAAACTGTTAGTTTTTCAGACTGCATTGTAAGCCACCAGTCTATAGGGAGAGAGAGAGAGATGTAAGATAAATACGACTGGAAGGTAGTACTATGGCTTTAGCTCAGTGGATCGCAACTGGGGATGATCTTGTCCCCTCCCCAGCTCACCCTGGGGACATCTGGCAATGCCTGGAGACATCTTTAGGTGTCACAGCTGTGTGGGAGGGGTGCTGCTCTGCGCATCCAGTTGGTGGCGGCCAAGGATGCGCCTACATACCCTACAGTGCACAGAGCAACCCCGACATTGAAACATGATCTGGTTCAAGTGTCAACACTGCTGCTGTTGAGAAACCCTGCAATGTATAGCTTTCTTCTTTTCCTTTTTTTCCCTGATGCTTTAGAAATTGAAGGGGTAGTTTTAAGTGGCAGACACCCGACTCGAACAAAAGATTGTGTTGAACTGCTTTTAGTTCATTGGAGAGCTGAGCCAATTTGGTGCGTTCATTGCGTGGAAAAGAATTCTTGCAGCTAATGGCCGAGTGGTTGCCAACGGGTCTGGTGTGTCGGGTATGTTCTTAGGTGTGAAATGTTTTTCTTAGTAAAGTTAATTTAATTGGAGCATTATATAATCCTGGGTTGTAACAAGTTTGTTCGTATGAATCCTCTTCATTTTGGTGGGTGTGGAATTAATTATCTCCCAGTCAAAACTCCCAGGGTTTCTCTATATTTGAAAAATCCTTTTCACATTAATTGTCATAAATACCCCATGACATGTGTAGGGTATGCGTTACACCACTGTTTGACAGATGAGGAAACCGACTTAGATCAAATGACTTGTCATGTGTATTATAGCAAGTTAGTGACAAAAGTAAGTCTAGGACTCAGAGGTCTGATGCTTAGGACACTTTTAAAGTTACTGTCTATCATTATCTCTTTTAATCTTTCTGACAGTCCTGTGAAATAATTCCTATTTTATAGACGAGGAAACAGGTTCAGAGATATTAAGTAACTTATTCAAGGTCACCAAACTCATAATGTAGTTTTGACTGTTTCCTCTGAGCTATACTGCCTCTCCATGGATTCTTCTCTAGAAATAAATTCGACAGTTTCTGTATGAATTCACCAAATCTATGCCTAACCTAACTATGTAGGCCTCTTGGCACTGTAGGTGAGGGAAAATTCTCATCTACCCTCTCTGGGTCTCTAGCTGGGCCTGAGAATTAAACTGACATAAAACAGATTAACAGGAGAAAAACATACACATTTCATTAAACTTTTACATATGCATGGGAGCCTTCACAAGAGAATGAAGACCTGAAGAAGTGACCAGAGCAGGAAGCTTTTGCACATTTTAGACAAACGATAACTTTGTGAAGAGTTGACAAGACAAAGGGGTGTGGGCCAGGGGCAGTGAGTGGTGAGGAGGTAACAGCAAGACAAGGGTTTTACTGTAATAAGGTTGGTTTGTACAGATTTCTCAGCCCCCAGTTCCCCGCCTCTGCTGATAAGAATGTCTTCCTCCTGGTACAGAGAGAGTACCTTTCACATGGGATTTTTATCTCTTGCTTTCAGGAAGGACAAAGGAGACTCAGAGTGTCTTTCTTGTACCTGCTATTTCTTAAGTGCCTTTAATTCAAAATAACCAATATGCCAAAATGGCAGATCTTGCGGTGACATTCTGGTTTCCTTTAACACCTAGTCAAATGTTCATGTTAACTTGAATCAATTGGTAATTCAGTGTTCGTAATCCTGCTCTGACTGGACTCGAGTGGGAACCTCACGGAGCTTTGATAAACCGTAAGGTAACACCACTTGCCATTTAGAATTTATTTTTTGAGAACGCTAAGTCCACAAGCCGTCCAAAACGTGGCCCTCAGCCGTATCTGAGTGTACTTGGGTCAGGCAGCCCTCTCGCACGATTCACTTTGCCAGTCTGATAGAGGGATTTGTATTTGGGATAGGACTCCCATTCATTCTAGTTTTCTAATTAGAACCTATATTACTCTCTTCAGCCATCTTTTATGTCTAATTGAGACAGTTTTTCTTACTTTTTTCCATGCTGACCTAAACCTCAAGCTGAGTTGACTTTAGCAACAAACAAAATAACATAATGGTTGGGTTTTATTTGCCTTTCTGAAACCTTGAGAGTTCATCTTACTCTAAATGAGTACATACATCATTGTTGTGAGGTGGTAGGAGCTGGTGATGGTCGCTTTATTTTCTAGACTGAAAAATTTAAGAAGAGATGATCAGTTTACCCAAGTAAACCAATCTCAAAGATAGGATTTAGAATTTAGGTTTCCAGATCTTAAAAAACCAAGCCACACTGTCATTTCTATTAGGTCAGAAAGAGTATCTACTTGAATATTTGCTCAGTTACCATATTCTTTGAAGACTATTTGATGACACTCAATTCTTGATACAAGTTTCAGTAATTGGAAATTTTAGTGTTTCATATGGTACATCCATTGGCTGGGTTTGGACCATTGATAGTGTGAGGTGTGGGTCTGGGGTTGAGAGGAGAAGGAAAGGGACCCCTTTGTTAGTGCAGCTGTGTATTGGGCTAGAAGGATTATCCTTAGGCTTAAAAGGCAAAGACTCTCAACTTTCCATAAAATTGAATTATTATAACAAATATTTTTCTTAGCTTCATGAAGAAAAATGCTAATAACCAAGTAACCATAATATTTATCGTATTATTGAGGGAAGAGACCACCACTCCAGTGTAGCTAAATCAAAGCTGAATTTCATACTTGCTGAGCAAGGGAGAAGCATGCCTGCAGAATACGGTCCTCACAACAGGCAGAGATGTGCTTAGGTGGGATTTGGAGGAAGCATGGAGTTTCAGGATTTTTTTTTTTCAAAAGTGAGACAATTTAAGGATTGGTTGACTTTAAACTTGGAGTTTAGGGACTGGCCAGCTTTGAGGAGCGAAGGTACTGAAGGGGGGGGCAGTTCCTGATTGGCGTACTTTCTCAACTGCGTACTTAAGTGGAGATATTGAGTAGAGTTTAAGGATTGATTGATTGGGGCTTATTTAAAACCGGTTCTGTGTTTACTTGTTCCCAGCTTGGGACAAGAGCCAAGGAATAATCTTTTCCTTTCTTGAAGTTGAAGAACAGGTACTTTAAATTTTCCATGTTTATGTCAAACCTTTGTTAGCAGTGGTGCTAATATAACACTTTGATTTTGCTTTTCTTCTGAAACTTAAAAGAAAAAAAAAAAAGAGTGCAGTGAGTATCATTTGTTTCCTACCCAGTAGCCTCAGGATTCTATGATATTTGGGACCCAGGCTGTTTCAAGGATTATTTTTATATGTAGTTAAAAAGGTAATATGTGATTTATGGAAATACTTTAATGCCTTAGACATTACGGTGAAAGCTGTGTGACTTCTATGTTTACCTTTCTCTCTTGTGGGGGTGTGTTGTGTCAGATGCCTGCCACAGTTCGTCCTGATGGAAGCTGAATTATAGATCTAAAAGCTTGCTGGGTTTGCTGTTGTTAGAGGTACCTCCAGAAGTGATCTCCTTTTGAAAGCAAACTAGCAATTTTCCCTATACCAACATTTTAGAAGTGTTCACGATTATATTGCATGTCTTTTATATAAGGGAGGCTGAGTCACGTTAGTATCTGTAAATCAGTTTACCACAACTATTATATTAGAGTACCATTCATATAAAGTATTTTGGTTTAGTATTTATTTTGAAATATTTTTATGCTTCGGAATGAAATAAAGAGCTATTTATGACTGTTTCTCGGAACTGT